TTGCCCAAAATAAATGTTTTCCCCAGGATTCAGCAAGTGTTGTAGTTTTTGTTTCATTTAAATTCTTTGGAGTATTTTCCATACCTATATTTATGTTATTTTCAGTCTCTTCAATTGTTTCACTTAAATTCTTAGGAGTATTATTTTCCATATTTATATTTAAATTATATTCAGTCTCTTCAATTGCTTCGCTTAAATTATGTATAGTCTTATTTTCTATACCTATATTTATGTTATTTTCAGTCTCCTCAGTTTTTCATAAAAATTATTTATTATCTCTTCAACAGCTGTATTTATTAATCCAATCTCTTCAAAATTAATGTTCGCCAATTTAGCACCTTGAAAAATTAAAACACACCTATTAATATTCAAAATATACAGGGTGTCCCACAGAGATCTGACAATCTGACAAATGAAACAACATTTGTTCTAATAAATATTTTTTTTAAATTTCTTTTAAATATAATTCATAGACACTTGTTCTACATTTTTTATTTTTTAATACTGAAAATAAAAATTTGTTGGCTGATTTTTTACAATTTTTTTAAATATCAATATTTTCGTTAAGTAAATTACGATCTAGTTWATGTTAGAAACCTTGTAATTTCAAATAATAATAAAGTTTTTTTTAAATATTTTATAAGAACATTTTTAAATAAGTGCATGTTTAAATCTAATTATTTTTTTATTGTAAAATTTTTTTATTTTTTTTTTTATTTTTTTATTGTATATTTAAAAGAAATTAAAAAAATATATTTATTAGAACAAATGTTATTTCATTTGTCAGAATGTCAGATCTCTTTGGGACACCCTGTATAATAAATATAAATAAATATGAAAATATTACCTACATTAATAATACCAAGAGGTATAACATCTTCATGCTCTGTCATAGAATTGGTCAAACTTTGATTGTTTTCATTTAATTGGCAGGCATTATCATAAGCAAATTCAATTAGCATATTATCAATGTCCATAATGTTAAAATTTTCTACACAAATATTTTGTTTGATATTCTCCCAAAAATCAAATAAAGAAGGCAAATCTTTTATTAGAACTACCGGGTTTAGCAGCTTGTCTTCAAATTGCTCGATATTTGTTTTGCCTAAGTACTTTTCTAGAACTTTTAATGTAATTTTATACTGTTCTATTGTAAAAATATCTGGATCATTACTTGTAGTAAGATAAAGTATTTTTCTTTTGTTTGAAATACATTTAGAATAATCCACTGCATCAGCATTGAACGGAAACAATCCACATTTTCGAAAACCATTTGTAATTGAATTCGTTTGAACTGAATCGAATGCTTCCTTGAAATAATTAACAAAATTTATTTTGGTTATTGGATTTCCTGATCTCTTGTTTTTCCCAACAACACTTTTCTAACTTGCTTTTAGTGGTTTAAATATAGCAACATCACACGGTTGCATAATGTGGGTACTATTCGGAGGCAAGCAGTACAAAATAATTTTACTAACAGCACAAAAATCAGCAAGTTCCAAACTTAAATGACTTTTATGACCATCAAGGAACAATATTACTGGGAATTCTATATTGTTTTTGATCAGCCATGAAAAAAATCCATTTGAAATATATTCATAGAATGTACTACTTATCATCCACCCAGAGTCAGATCTACCAATCACCCAATCCTCAAGAAACGTTGCCAATATTGATGTTGAAGTCTTTTATAGGGGTATAATCCCATTGGTGATGGAACAGCACCACTAGCTGAGTATGTACATAACACTGTAATACACTCTTTTTCATGTCCCTGAACAATTTCATAAAAATCTTTTATGTCTTTAGGCCCTAAAACTCTACCAAATTTGGGAAATGTTTGTAAACCAGTTTCATCACAGTTGAAAATTCTACTGGGATYGTCCAACACATCACGACAATTTTCATTTACAACATATGAATCGAACTCAGTAAACCATTTCTGTTACATGATGACCAGCCATCAACCCCAGATGTGGCCATATCAAGTCGACTTCATCACACGACTTTACACACACGTCGTCTAATTAAAGAAGTGAGTTAATTCAATTAATTTAAATAATTTACTTTTTTTCTAACGTTTATTTTTTTCTGTTCACAGTTAATTATGGATGTTTTAAATTCGCTCCAGCGGCAGACGAACGTGTTGAATCTATCTATCGGGGAGCTGACAAAGGACAYCGAATACCGTGTACAATCGATGAATAATGTGGAGACGAAATTTGGAACGGCTGTGGCATGCGTCTTACAAGATCCGGCTGGCGGTGGGATAATCAACGTATTTCTCCCCAAGTCGGTGCAATTGCCAAGTGATGAAATACAACAATCAACATGAGGCTGACCCGGTAAACCTCAATTTTCGGGGGATGAGTAAAAGAAGCTTTATTATTAAATTCGTACCCGCTTAAGCTCGTTTTTCGGGTGATGTCTAATGTAACTT